GATAGATAGATAGATAGATAGATAGATAGATAGATAGATAGATAGATGTGTGTGTTTGTATTTGATATATTAAAAAAATGGCCTTTTTCACATACAATATTCAGGACACAAGAGACAGGAGGAAAGTTTTCCAAACACTGGGCCAATGGCTAAAGAATAATCCATCCATTCATTATCAATACCGCTTCTTCCCTGATGGGGTCACAGGGGGAACTGGAGCCTATCCCAGTGGTCAACGGGCGAGAGGCAGGGTACACCCTGGACAGTCCGCCAGTCCATCGCAGGGCCACACACAGGACATACAAGGACAAACAACCATGCACACTCACATTCACTCCTAAGGGCAATTTCCCCAATCTCCAATCAACCTAACATGCAGGTTTTTGGACTGTGGGAGGAAGCCGGAGAGAACCCACGCAGACACAGGGAGAACATGCAAACTCCACCCAGAAAGGTCCTGGTTCCCCCAGGATTCGAACCCAGAACCCTCTTGCTGGGAGGCAACAGTGCTAACCACCACACCATCTTGCCGCCTCTTAAGAATAATGGACTATCAAAATATGTTATCTCCTGTCTTATCATCCATCCATTGTCTATACCGCTTTTTCCCAACAGGGTCGCGGGGGGGCCTGGAGCCTATCCCTGCAGATGAGGGGCGAGGGGCATTGTACACCCTGGACAAGTTGCCAGTCCATTGCCAGGAAACACACAGACAAACAACCACACACACTCACATTCACATCTAGGGACAATTTGGAGTGTCCAATTAACCTAACATTCAGGTTTTTCCACTCAATGTTTTTCTGAGTTGGAATAAATTCATCCCAAGTCCAATGATTCCGATTTTTCTTATTTCATGTGATTAGTTAGAATATGAATATGAATCATAAATGGGCGGATTGCAAAGTTGCTTAGATTGGGATTTTTTCAGTCCTGAGCTTCTCTTTTCCAGAAATGTAGCTGGTACATCTGTTATCTGTGCGAGACAGAAAAAAAAGCTCATCTTGAGATCTTAATACAGTTTAATGACACAAACTGTCATTGAAAATAAATTATGTTCTAGTGGGGATGAAGGTATGGGTTCAACTGATTCAAATCGCTCTCTTTTGGTCCACAAGGGTTCTACTTTTTGTCCTCTGCTCGTATCATGTGCTGCACTTTTTGTCGTCAACCACTAGATGGACCGTTGGTCACTCTGAAATAATCTTTGCATCACAAAATTCCCACTGTAACATTTAGCTATGGCATCATTATTCTGGCTGGATGGAAATTCTTACCTCTTAATAGCAGCCATGTACCAACAAAACATTATCAGGTAAAGCAAAAAGTTAAATAAAACATTACTCAAGTGGAATTGTGATCACTTTAAGATTAAAGAATGTCTGTCTCGATATTAGAGTTTGTGTTTTTTTTCTTAGTGCTTCTCTCACATGTGATTTAATTATTTGACATATCCATTTACCCATCAATAATAGTTGTGTTTTCCCCTCATTCTGCCTTCGTGTTTACCTTCTAGGTCAACCTGCTTCTGCCATATCTGACAGTTTGTGTCTTGTTTGTTTTTTTTAACACTGGCTGTTATCTTTATGATAGCAGCTAAAAGCCTTTTGGTCTTCATCCCACTATGCTTTGCCGGATAGTAATCTCCTGGAAGCTTGATGCTGTCTTGATTTCACGGTTTGGGGCGTAGTTGAAAGGTTCCACTCTCCAGGTTTTGATCTTTATCTTTATGTGAGGGTAGTGCTATTCTAAAACAGCAACAAGTGATCAAACTGGCCAATAGCTGTCAATAAACCGACCTTTTGACTGTAGTTTTGCAGCTTTTCTCCACGCCTGGAGTCACATCTGCCTGTTTGCCACCTCAGTAATAGCCTGCAGGTGCAAATGAAGGATAGGTTGAGGAGGGTAAAAAAGGAGGGCAGGCAGGCGAGCCAGGAGGGAGGGAGGGATGAAGAAGGAAAGAGGGGGGCGGTGAAGGCAGAGCCGCGAGGCAGGCGGCCAATCACATGAGCCCGGATCTGTTTACAAACCAAGACTCGCAGATGAGAAGTGGAGAAGAGGAGCGGATGTGAGAAAGGAAACAGGGGAGACGAGAAGAAAAACCCCAGATCCGAATGAACCCCAAGGTTGCGTGTCTCTGTGGGCTCACAGCTGGAAAACTGAGGGAGATATGAGGAGCTGCTGTCCACCACGGGGGCTCTGAGGCCGCCTGCTTCTATCTCCGTCTGCCCGGTCATGCTTCTGGGAGAATCCATCTGTATCCTTCTCTTTGTCTATCAGTAATTGGCCTCGGCAGGGATTTTTACGGCCAGAGAGAAAGAAGGCGAAGTGGATCTCTGGAAGGTGAGGACATAAGAAGAAAAAAAGGAGAGGAAAAGGAGAAGAGAAACGAGGGGAACAAAAGAGCCTTGTGAAATTGTTTTGAAACGGGGACAAAGCAGCAATAAAAAAGTAGAAAAAGGACAAAAAAAAGCTGCAATTGAACTTGGCCGGTGGTTTATACTGTAGCTGGAGGGGATTTGGAGTATAAATTCTCATCCTGTCAATGAGGTTACTGTCCTCTCACCCACACGGCTCCACACTGGTGCCTTTGTCATGCTCTGGAGAGGCAAAAAGCGATACTGAGACCTCTGTCTCAGAGACATGTACGGTTGATGGGAGTGTAGGATAACTTGTGTGGATAAAACATCGCAACGGCCCGGGAATCTCCAACCAGAGGCTCCAACTCTTGACTGCTTAACCCCCCCCCCCTCTCCTTGACGTGCCTTGTCAAGTCGGGGCATCTTCATGTTGGATGCATCCCGTTCAGTGGTGTCACGGTGAGTTGTTTAAAGCCGCCTGCTGCTCCTCCTTTCGCCTCAGTCACACTCACATAGTTTGACGAACTTCACAGTGGCAGAATATTTACACCCCATATCAATCGGACATAACTTTTTGGTAATGGAACTGAGAGAGCTGAAGTTATCCTGTGATGGACTGAAAACATTTGAGTAGGAAAGAGCAACTTGAACAAAACCCTGTCCGTTAGATATGAAATAAATCCAACATTTTAATTTAAATTAATCAAAAAGAGCTATTTAAGAGCTAAGTAGGTAATTGTATAGATCTATTTGTTACACAGTTTTCCATTCTAAAACCTGTTCATTTAGTTATACACCTCCCACAGAGACTTCCCCTTGGTTTTGCTTGGCAAGTACAGTAATATGGATTTCTTCCCCAGCTGATTTCTGCTATATAGTTTTTGAGAACTGAGTCATTTTGAATTCATATGTTTAAAAGAAATCTATTTAAACAATAGCAAACAGTTGCTAAGAACTTAGGAAAGACTATTCCCCTAAAACATTCCACTAGACTGATTGATAACTTGCCCAACATCTTTGTGTGTGTGTTTTTAACCACTTGCCGTGACAGACAAATGAAAAAAAAGCAAGACTACAAGGTATTTGTATAAATTTTCTGACCAGCCTTGCAAAAAAATAAAGGAGTCATCAATTGGGTGATTTAATGAGGAAGGCTTTTAAGTTTTCCAGGCCCAAAAATCACACTTTAGTTTATCAATGTTAAATGCAGATCCGTCCACCCTGAACGGATCTGCACGGTGGCTTACCTTTCAGTGCTCCACTATCAATGATTTACCCACATTGTGCTAAGATTACAGCCACCACTTCCTCGACCCAAACCTCCTAAATTCACCGCTTCACCTCGAAAAAGTTCATTACCGCGGGTTAAGTCTGACGCAAGCGGCCTGGAATGAAAAGTGCTATGTTCAATCCCCCTCAAGCTGAAGGACTTTTTTCTCTTCTCTCCCAAATCCTAAACGCCAGAGAGTTAGGCCAAAAAAGCAAGTGGAACACATTCCTGTGTGACGCAGGGGCGGTTGTAAAAGTTCACATGAGAGTGCTTTTCAGTCTGGAGTGGCGCTTTCGGGAGAGACTTGTGTATTTGATAATTACGCGTAAAGATTCTATTCCGGAAAAGGCGCCGTGTATCGTGTGGAAAAAGCAAACAGTTGGCGCTCTGCTTTCGCCGCAAGTTCACCAATCCAAACACCGTAAGCAGTGTTAAATTGCCGTCTGAAACAAGAGGCTTCACAGATGCAGCGGGAAGAGCGTGTGCTCGGCCTCACAAGTTACACAGGAGCGTTCGCACAAGTGCACACGCTAAAATCTGACCCCATGTGTGCACCACGGGAGTGTAAGAATTATGGTAAGGGGTGTTGTATGCATAAATGTGCTTGTTCGAGTCCTATTCATCACACGGGTAAATGGGATAGACGTACATAAAAACAATTTGTATGTCTTCCCTCTTGTGTCCTTATCTTAAATATAATAGCTTCATACTCTGAATGAACCCTAATTTAAAAAACAATGTCTCCACTATGATAAGGACACAGAAAAAGCTGCTGAGTGACATATTATCCTCCTGTGCCATGTCCATAGCTGGCATGTTTGCGAACCCTAGCTTGTGTACACACACACAGCAGACACAGTACGCAGAAGACAATCGCTGAATCACTTTTGGTTCCAGGAACACTTCGAAAAATTTAAACATCCAGGCTTAAATAAGAAGCGTGCAAGTCCAAGAGAGACGTTGACACAAACTGGGGCTCATCTCTTTTTTCAAAATGGCAGCCCTCTGTTCGTCGGTGTTTGCGGCACGTGATCTTTAGGCGTCTTAACCAAAGTTGTCACACTCTATACGAGTTTATCTGTTTTGTTTTCTGTAGGGGTTACAGTTCTACAGTCACACTAACTAACGAGACGGACTCTTTGCCTCAGACATAGACCACTATGCCCCTTTTGGTTTTGTGTGTAACACCGAGGGGCAGATCTGGCAGATCTTACTCATTGAAAATGAAGTGAGTTGAAGCTGGTGCTTTGATTTGGTCTTGTTCACTGTACAGACCCAGAACGCTGGTTTGGTCCAGACTGGGCAGAACTGTGGTGTTGGTGGGCACATATGCCTGGGGGACTCCAAAGACCCCTCAGAGAAAGAGAAAAGTGAAAATATCAGGGAAAATATGCATTTTTTCAGAAACACAGATGGGATTTTGTTGGTTGGATATCTGTCAGAGTGGGCTTTGAAGAATTTAAATGGTAAAGAAAAACTCACAAGTCAAAGTTCTGGGTCAATGGGTACAATCCATTCAATTTATTTCAGGCTTTGTTTGGTGTCTTGGGTGCCGTCGTGTTTAAATCATGATCATTTCCAACATGTTTCAGACGCATTGGGAAACTTAAATGAGTATTTGTGTTAGGACCGTCAGTTTATTTATGAGCGCTTTGTTCTTTGTGAGAAGACAACGTGGGCTCAGAGGACTCAGAGCAATTAGAATTGCACACAGACCCAGAAGACTGTTTGCATTTCATGTTGCAATCCTTTATGTGTCCTCACTTGTACTAAGGTAGAACCGAGTTGTGTCCCACACTGTTCGACAGTAGTTTTTTGGCCGTGTCACTGGAGGAATAGTTTGTTTTCTCCAGTCTACGTTCCCTTCTAACATTTTTTTTTTTTTTTTGTCTTATCCTCAAGGTGTTTGTGTAACTGTGGAGTGCAGGACTCCAGTCCGTACCGCAAGATGACATCTGAACAGCTCTTCCATCTGTCACTAAATGTTTACATCATCATCCTGGGCATTGGCCTCTTCATCCTGGTGCTCAGCCTCATCTTCTGCTGCTATCTGTTTAGGTACAAGAAAACAGAGAAGAGCGATTCAGACTTGTGGTTTTAGAAATTCGAGGCAGAAATTTCGGTGAATCAGAGCTTTACTCAATCAAACTCTGGTCAGAGACAAGGAATCAAAGGATTTAGCTGGAATCCGTCACATGAAACTCAGGTTTCGACATAAGCTGCTCGGAAATAGTGACTCCCTAACTTTGTACACAGTCGGTTTTAATATCATTATGAACTGACCTATGTTGAGTCACATCATCTGCATCAAGTACATCATTTTGTGCATAATTCCTTGTAATTCACTCTTTGTATTACATGGGAGTAATGTAGATTATGTAAGCTTCTCCATCAAGAAGTGAACTCTGCTTTAGGCAATTACAGGCTGACAGGTTGTTGTTAGATCAGTAATCCACTGGTAGCGTCAAATGTTTTTGGAAAAATCTCTTTAAATATGCATTGGAGATGATATTCTATTCAATAAATGAAAATTAGAATGTTGTTTTGGTTAGTCGAACAACTGAAAAAGAAAATAGAAAAGCTGCGCATATATATATGTATTTGATATGTATATAGTATATATATATATATATATATACTCCACGTACATATGCACTCCACATATATGAGTATGTATAAATATATATATATTTGATTTTTTTTCCAAAATAAAGATGAAACGTATTGTAATGACTCTAAGTCTATCATTTTAGAGTCCCTTAACCTTAACTAGGAATTTTTCAAATATATTCAGTGAGACTGTTAAATCAAGCTGGATTTCTGTCATATTTTTCCGTGACAGCTTACTCCAGATGTTGTTACAGTTCAGCCCAATGTGCTATTGATGCACAGGCTCCTACTTGACTTTGGCATTGTGCAAATTCTTGCAAAGACTGCTTAAAGTATGAAGGATCCCAGCTGATTCACGCAACAGGACAAGACATGTCCTGATGAAGACAGATATGGAGCCAGGAGAGACACTGTGTGATACGACTGTTATGACTAAATGGCTACATGATACGTCTGTTTTTCATTTTACAGACTGAGGAGACGAAGTACGAGAGAACAATATGGCTACAATGAGGTAACGACGTTTTTCTCTTCTTATCATTCTTCCTGCCAGTTTAACTGCAAACCCTTTATTTAGCATTGAGCATTCTGGCTTTTTAATTGTTTGCCATAAAAATAGGATGAAACTGTAATCAATGACAATTTTTAGGTGAATAAAATGCAGATGCACAAAATGCTGTTGTTATATAAGAGAGTGTACAGGCCTTAAATTAAATCCTGAGGGATGAACAATGAAACAGAAAAGAAGTGGACGGCAAAAAAAATAATTCACAGTGTGGCAAATGTTTGTTGTGTTATTGTTCTCCCCATTCAGTTGCATCTTAAACGAGGAGCAAGTACAAACAAAAATAGTTCGGACTGAAGACTAAATTAAAACCGGAACTTAGGAAAATCTAAAATACAATAACCCCATGGATCACGAAAGCATATCTGTTCACTTCACTGAGAATTCGGACACAAAAGGTTTGTCTATATATTTTACAGGCTGGTTCTTTCAACAAAAGAAAGAATAGTGAAACTCAGATTAACTCAATAACAGACCAGAACTTAATTCGAATGGAAAATTCATAAAACTGGTCCGCTTGACCATTATTGATAAATGATTGTTGTCTCTCGTTATAGATGTAAATGCCTTAATTAGTTCAAGAGATAAAAGCCAGTACCAATTGTGATATTTTCAATAAGAATATTCCATTGATCACAGCTATCTCATTAAAAGGTTTTAGGCATATTCGATCCTTTGATTCATAGCACTCACTACAGTAGATAGCTATTTAAAAGCCATTTTCTCTGTATACTTGTTGCTTTTTTGTTTTCAATGTGCATAAGCCACTGATGTGGACACCTATGCATCATACAATAAAAATTCAAGAATGGCCACAAAAACATATTGTTAAAGAGGAGCTGAGGGGTTGAATAAGCTGGAGTGAGAGAACAGATGACATATTAGTGAATATTAGAATAGAATGAGAGTTGTATACAAAGTTCTGTGTTTATCCATTCTGTTCAAAATTTTCTTATTGTACATACAGAATTTCATAAGTAAGAAATCTTAAAAACGTATGCTGTCCAATTGAGAAGGCATCTGGAAAAATCCTTGAACAAACACTTTTATGACCAAAAAATAAAGAAAAAGAAAAGAAGAAAGTAAAAAACAATGGAAAAAGTCCTGACTACAATGATCCAGATTCATGCATGAAAGGGTTAAAAAAAGAAAAAGCCAGAATGTTCAGCTCTTACATAAAAAAACAAACATTAAAATTCACCAAATGTGATGAGTCCATATTTATCAGTTGTCATGTCATAGATTCCTATATAAATTGCTGTGCCATTGTTGCCTGCATTTTAATCTTGTGTTCTACATCCCAATTTCCACTAATTCTCATCAACAGGTTGTTTTGAAAGGAGCGGGGAAGAAACTCAGTCTGATTGGTGTAAGTTGAACACTGGGCAAAAGGGATGGGCTTAACTAGCAAAAACACTAAAGATTTAAAGTCACTTAAGACACCAATGTGTAATAGAACGATACATATAACAAAACTGTTGAGCAACTCATTTGTCTTTTGTAATTATACCTAAAAATAAGGGATACGTCAGTAATAACTGATGGCATCTTATGGACCACATAAAAAAACAACTACTGTTAAATGACTTTGTAATTTGACATGAACAAAGTTGTCAAATTATAACACAAACTATGCCACACATTCGCATCTAAGCTTGTGAAATTGGGAGGAAAACCACCAAAGGTTTTGTGAACCAGGTCATATAATTAGCTTTCTAGCAAATGCTTGCTGAAAGAATGTTTAATTGTTCTGTATTTTTGACATTTTTGGACTCGGTAAACTCTGGCATGTTGATCTCTGTCCCTTTTCAGCAAACATGCGTGGTGTGTTTGGAAGAGTTTCGCAGCAGGGACGAGCTCGGACTGTGCCCCTGCTCCCACGCGTTTCACAAAAAGTAAGCGACGGCTGACATCGTGTTTGTAAAAAATGAGCAAAGGCATCTCAAAGACACAGTCAAGTTAAATATCCCACGCGTGATTCGTTTCCAGTGATTCGTTTTTTCATACGCCGGTGATCCTGTGGCCCTATTTTATCGTCTCAGTCTGAAGCTTAAAACGTTTAAAGTCTTGTCCTGGTATTATGTGCATAAACCAACCATGCACAGCCATGATGCAAAGAGAATGACATCAGATTCCGGTGAGCATTTAGTGCATGCTTGAACATGAATTCAGTTTTTCCAACCCAGACCTGTTTTTTGACCTATGGTGGAAGAGTCGTCCTAGGGCTGTTTTCTGAAATTGACCATTTGAATCAACATGATATATGAGCTGTGTCAATATCCTTTTAAATTTGAGTCCTTTTTTCTATCTGTCATCTCATCTTTTTTTGTTTTCGTTTTCCAGGTGTCTGCTAAAATGGTTAGAGATCCGCAGTGTGTGCCCGATGTGCAACAAGCCAATCGGTCGCCTCCAGGCCGAGCAGCCACGCGCCCCGGAGCGGCCGCCGAATATTTTAGAAGTCTGAGACAAAGCTGCGTCCCTCGGTTCCGAGCGCTTTCCGGACACTTGAACCGTCGTTGCGCGGTCGCCGAAAAGTGGTTTCAGTGATGCAGATTTTTTTTTTCTGGAATTTTAATATATGTAAATGATAGTATAGACCAATCGTTAAGGGTCAAAGGTCATACCTGGAAAACTGGGTGTGGAAAAAGCTACAACAAGAGATGGAAGGTAACTATACCACATTTCAATTTAACAAAACATAATGGTCATTAAGTACAGAAGGGCAAATGCTGCATTCCCAGAGGTTCAGAAGCTAAGCTAATGCTAGCTAAAACTGTTGATAAGAGTGAAGTATGCCGGATTATGTGCATTCATATGCTGCAACAGCGGGCACAACCCACTTAATGACAGATAAACGCGTTGTCACTCAAGCCATTTACACTTTGAAGTGCGTATAAGCCATGCTGGATTTTAAAGCTGGAGACTGTGAGATTCTTCCAAGTCTAGATCCTCAGTTGAGCCTTCCCCTAATCTTACTCCCATTTTTAGTTCATAACCTGAATCTTAAAGCTAATGTCCAAGTGCCTTAAAGCCATACGCTTTTAATCACACAGTAAGCAAGCATACGTTTAACAGGAGATGCTGTCTTAAGCTAATTCCGACTCGTGTATGTAGAGCTGGCAGTCCAAATTGAATCTTTTTGGAGGATAAATGGAGTGGTTGGATGGATGTCATTTAATATAACTGACTAGAAGTGGAAGGAGCCTAACAACATTAAGAGTCTTGCAACTGTGCAAGAAAAAACTGCCTGTATCAGCAGAAATGCAGTCATGTGAATGGGAAAATGCAGCCTCTTTCATTTTTTTCAAGGTTTTACCAATCAACATGGAAAAAACAAAGGTCATCTGACGGTTTTCAGGTCATAGAACGTGGTTAATGCAGCGTCAAATAAACAACACGGGACATGATACACCACACGGCGTGGGAAAAGACTATATGAAAATGCACCCTCCTGCAGCTGATACACTGGTTAGGCCATAGGCTGAAGCTCAAAATGTGGCTAGAAATAGGATTTCGCTCCACTATCCTGGGGACTACTTTTCGATAGCACTTTTCCAATCTTGAATATGTACTGGAGCTGGGAAAAAAAGTTCTCCATGGGATTCCTGCCAGTATTTGAGAAAATGGGTGCCAAAGGTGGCAGTTTACCCAAAAAAGTGACGATTTTGGGTCTTCTACCATTTTCAAACCCGTGTAACGTTTTTATTATTAAGCCGATCGTACTCAAATGTTTTATTCCCACAGACATTCATACTAACTCAGAGCTTCTAAAGCGGCAATGTTCTGCGTGCTTTAAGTAAGGAGTTATTCTAAATGAAAACATACAGTTTTGAACAACTTCACAATCTCCCAAAATGTATCTTTATTGCACATGAAAACTGCAATTCTTTGAATTTTCAATTGAAAAATTCTAATAGCAAGATATCCCTTTGTGTCTGGTTAATTAATAACTATGAAAAGTGGTGTGAATTTTATCACCTAGCAAACCAGTTACAATATAGGCCATAGGCTGAAGCTCAAAATGTGGCTAGAAATAGGATTTCGCTCCACTAACCTGGGGACTACTTTTGATAGCACTTTTCCAATCTTGAATATGTACTGGAGCTGGGAAAAAAAGTTCTCCATGGGATTCCTGCCAGTATTTGAGAAAATGGGTGCCAAAGGTGGCAGTTTACCCCAAAAAGTGACGATTTTGGGTCTTCTACCATTTTCAAACCCTTGTAACTTTTTTATTATTAATGCGATTGTACTCAAATTTTTGATTCCTACAGGCATTCATACTTACTCTGAGCTTCTAAAGCGGCAATGTTCTGCGTGCTTTAAGTACGGAGTTATTCTAAATGAAAATATACACTTTTTAACAATTTCGCAATTTCCCAAAATATATATTTATTGCACATGAAAACTGCAATTCTTTGAATTTTAAATTGAAAAACTCTAATAGAAAGATATCCCTTTGTGTCTGGTTAATTAATAACTATTTAAAGTGGTGTGAATTTTATCACCTAGCAGACCAGTTACAATATTGGAAGCAAAATTTTCGGAAATAACAATAAAAACTAGAAGAATCTTCAAGTAAATTTATACTGTTTATTCAATGGATCTGATATCAACTTAAGCATTCATGGAATTAATGAACAAATAATAACAAAAATAATAGTAACAACCCCCCCCCCCCCCACCACCACCACTCCATTCCCACACCAACAAGAGTTACTTCTTCTGTTTGTTGCAACATTTATGAATATTTACAGAGAGAATTAATCATCTTCAGAAAAACTGAAAGAGAATAAGAAGCCTACATATAATTTTTCAATTACTTTTGAACAATTCTACCAAGCACTAAGCATGCCAAAGTTGATATCTCCCAAATTTTATACATGTACATATATAATTATAAAGACCGATTCTAACCATTTATAAATCTCCACTCAGTGACTATTGACAAATGGCAATAGCAATGATAACCTGATTTTGAAAAGGGGTAAACTTTTCAGATGCCTCATAACAATAGGAAGAATCATAATCATAATTATTGATTATTTATAAGAACAATGGAAAGTATTAATATCACAACATTAAAAAATGAACTCTTATTTATAAGCTACAAGATTGTTTTTTTTCACATTTACTACAAAATTCAGTTTACTATGGACAAATATTCAAATTGGTTTTCAGAAATGAAATAGTTTCAATCAGCTAACCCGTGGGTTGTGAATTCACTCCTCTGAGGCAAGACATACTATGGAAATGTACAGGGAATTAAAGAAGGCACAAAGACATTTCTGTTTTTAAACAATTACTTTTGTTGGACCCAGCAAGCCTTGAGATGTTAATCTTTTCAGGATCACTTCGGGTTGTTACGACTTGAGAATTACAATAGAAAACACAAAGAAACTATGAATCATCGAAATCATAGGAGGGATAGGAGTCTCCTCCTATCACTTCCTGCAGGTGTTCCTAGAGCTGTGGAGTCTGGATCTGTGATTGGGAGTTTCCTGCTGCTCCGTGTTCCTGCTCTGCTACTACTTTGCATAGTGTTATTGCTGTCATAACTCCTATCATTATCATTAGTATCAATATACATAAAATTGAATTGAATTTAACTTTCTTTGTAGCACCGTTTGTGCTACCGGACTTCAATTGCGACACAATCTTTTCCACGCAGATCCTTGAGGATGGATTCGTCCATTTTCACTTCAGCTGCATTAACCAAACTCCCTAGCAAAGAGAGAGTTAAAGTTCAATCATAAACCAGCTGCCAACAAATAATATCAAATACATTTTCTCTCTTTTACCAGACTGAACTGGTAGTTGGGTGACAAATTTAAAATCTAACCATTATTTGACAAATCAATTAATTGCCTATCATCACTTCAAGTTCATAATAATGCCTTTTATTATTATTGAGGCCCTACACATAGCCTTCATACACCTACTTCATAATGAAGGCTAGGGCTGGCAACAATTACACATGCATTTATTTTAAATCAACAAATGTATTACTTTAGCTTTTGATTATAAGCCACAAACAAAGATGCTGTCTGCAAATTATCTAATCACCAGTATTTATAGTTTCTGCTTGGACCAATTTACCTTTCTTTGTCTTGTGTCCCTCCGCCAACGTGCGGTCAACTCCGTCCATACACTTACGGGCACATACGACCAGCTTCTTCCACGAACAACTGTTAGTGTCTGTGTCCGTTCTTTTTCTACCGATTATATGTGTGTGATGCATATATAATCCTCATTTTTCTTGCGTTTTCTGTCTGATCAACGGAAACGCGCAGCTCCACGGGAGCAGCCATGTTTGTTGTTGTTCTTCTGTTCTCGCCTCTGAATGGGAGAGCGCACCTGAAGGACGCGCTCTGATTGGCTAACGGCTAGGCGGCTTGATTCGAGCGTACTTTACCGGTGTGATCAGGCTACCGATATAGTTACATTTTTAAGTAATTATTGTAAAAATACTGGCGCAAAGCGATTGGAGAACTTTTGGTTATGAGCTCAAAATGCACTAAGGATTTTTTTGCAGGTGTCATTTAGTAGTCCCTCAATAAGTGGAGCGAAACTTAACGATACAGGCTTCAGCCTATGGCCTAGGTGATATAATAAAATATTATGTCAGGAGTTTGTAATGGGCCTTCTTACTGTTCCCAGATTTATGGTATAGCTTCTTTGGGATCTTTCCTCTGTGACACACCCTAATTCTCCACACGAGAAAAGTGCCAAAATATGCTGCATTTCCACAAGTATTGCTCACTCATCCAAAAAAACTGAAATCAGGAGTTCAAATCACCTGTTTCTACGAACATTTGTGAAGGAACGGTTGCCAGGAGTAAGGTCTGACTGTATTATGCCAAGTGTAGAGTTTAGTGGAGGGTGGACTATAGTCTGGGGTTGTTTTCCAGGAGCTGGGCTCGGTCCCTTATTTCCAGTAAAAGGAATTCTTCAGCCTTAGGAACAATTTGAAGACGGCCCCTCCCTCGTCCAACTTGACTGCACACAAGTGCACAAAGCAGGAAACATCAAGATGTATATGATATGTAATTGCATACGATATGTATTACACTTCTATGACAAGTCCTTAACTAAATTAGTTACGCTAACATTTCCTTTCCCTGTGGGATAGATCAAGTAGATCAAGTAGGCCCACTCATCCAATTAGTAAATTACCTCACAAATCCGCTTGAAGTTGAAGTTGCTGAAGCTACGCTGGGATGCTGGGGCGGGCATCAACATAGAGAACCCCATGGATTAAGAATGGGATGTCACTCAACTTCATTTGAGTCAAGGCAGGTGAGCAAATACTTTTGGCAATAAAGTGTATACGCGTTCTGATGCACATTTGAATGACAATGAGTGGGTTATACTCATCATCTGCATCCTTACAGAGGCAGTCAGTGTGTTCTTGGATTGCTTGATACGCTGTTTCTGCATTTTGGATCTATTTTCATTGAATACATCATTATTACACAGTGTGATGTGTCGTGCTGTTGTTGCTTTGATGTCAACCTGAGGCTACATGACGTCGTTCAGAATGAATGAGTTTTGTAAAAAGGTCCTGAAAAGTAAATAAGTAAAGATAAGTAAAACCTCACAAATAAAAAAAGACTTTCCCCTTTTTTTTTGCACGACTGTACTTTGGTTCTGTTTCAAGGGCCTGAACATTAACAGTTTACCTTAGGTGTCCTTTGAAAGATTTCAAGCCAACAGCACATACTTCAGCACTAGCTAACAAGAGTTTCCTTCGGCAATGTCAGCTCTCCGTGAACTGAGAGTAAGTATTTTGGGGGAGAAAGCAGCATCAGATCCTGTAATACTGCTTTAATTTTCGATCCTTCGACGTGTCAGTCGATCTGACCCTCCCCTGCTTTCTCCGATTTCCCAAAAGTGACACACAACTCTTCCTGAATCTGAGGTATTTTGGTCTCTCTCAACTACTTAAGAAGACAGAAACGGAAGAAAGTGTTTCAGTATCCAGAACATGGACTACAGAGACTGTAAACAGGAATGTATTGTGTTTTTTAATACAATATTAGCAGTGAAATCTGTTTCATTTAACAGCATGATCGTTGGGAAGTAGCAGGACAGATGTGTGTGCTCTGGCATTATCTAGTGTCTCACAATCAAACAGTTATATCCAGCTGTGAGGGAGCTTTGATGGGCTAAATGGCAAACCAGTTAAATCATGTTACAGAAAGAAAATACATGCTAAAGGGCCCCTAAATAACTAACAAAAACATATATGTAAGCCTAACCTTTAACATTTTTTTCTTATGAACTATTTTGTATCATAGCTGCCTTTCAATGAAATGTTTAGCATGTCAGAGATGCTTTAACACTCATTTTTCATAATGAAAACAATATCTAGTATTTAGAAATTTGGACATTTGTATAGTTTTTGTATTGATTCTAATATTTGGAAAGGTTACAACTTTATACTGTTGATGACCAGGTGGTTTGGATCCTACTAATTGGTTGGGTATGATTGTATTGAATTGAATGAATTAATGACAATGACATCATTAAATAAGTTATGTGTCTTAAGTTGAAGGATTTTCTTGCCCAAAGCCATTATGCAATGATTTTAGATCACATCTCGTCAATGAAATGTGCTGCACTTCTTTTAAAAAAAATCTAATTTCCAACATCTAATAAAAGCATCTAATGTTTTACAATAATTACGTAAATTAAATTTTCCCACTGAGCTGCTCCTCAGGAGGGAGGTAGCAAGACAGCCTTCGACACTGCCTGTTTGGCTGATGCTGGAGGTATAGTTATAGAAGCTTAATTCTGGTGAACTAACATAATTCAGTACAAAATATTTTAGATGACTGCATAGACTTACTTGTGTTTTTCAAAAATGTATACGATAGATTTTCTCACTCTGCCCCTTTTCTCATTTTTTTCTTCCAAGTTGACTGTAATCACCCCTTAAGTTAGTTGACTTACTTTCGTAACACAAACCTGTTCCTTTTATCACTCCCAATCATTGATTTATTTGTTTATCTCAGCTCCTCTTTAACTGTGTTTACATTTTATTGCATGATGCACCAGTGTCCTCGTCAGTAAACATTTAAAACATACAAGCCCATAAATGCACAAGAGAATAGCTTTTAAATAGCTGTCCTCTACAGTGTCCGCCAGGCATGAAAGGGTTAAATACAAAAAAATCTTGCACCGTCAGGCTTGCGTAGTTCAGTTAATTTGCGCTGATTGGTTGCACCATTACCCTTTCAGAACAAATCGAACGAGATTAGTTCCGCTCATTATCAACACTCGGGACTTTGTTTTAAATATTGTATGTGACATATTTCATGCCGTTGGACTAAATGTAGCTACGTGGTTCTAAATTTTCTTTCATTTACAGAAATAATAAGCATAAAAAAAACCTTGAAAAGTATGGCATATGGGTAATATTTCCTAAATTAAGTTTTACAGTTTTTTTTACCTCTTTATTGCAGGATACGTAATAGGCAAAAAATACAGGATAGTTTGTAATAAACATACAAATGTTTTTAAAAAATCAGGCATAAATTCCCTACTTTTTTTGCAACAACATTTACTCTGAAGAATCTGGCCCGGAAGTTCTGTGTCAGCTCTCGCGGACAACGAGGGAAATTGAATTACACAAGAAAGAGATTAAAGCTGCAAAGTGGCTTATCCATAGTGAAAACTTTGGTAGTATTTTTTCTTCGAGCGTTATTTCGTGGCTTTGGTGCTCAGAAAAACACATTTAAACTGTGCCGGTATCGGCGATATTAACACCTAAACTGCAGCTTGTACTCCCGTATTATTGTTTCATTCTAGTATACAACACGGAAGCTAACGTTAGCCGGCCAGTCACGCGTAGCTAACTCGCCGAAAGTTTGACATGGAAAATAAATAAACTTAACTGTATTCGGCATATTTGAATGTGGCTATGACGGCCTACTAATGCGGCGTTTTGTGTTCAAATTCAAAAGATACCGGGGAACTTCTTAACAGTGCTGTAGGACAACATATTGGGTATGTCATCGCCTCCCCTTGGCAGCAGGAGTCATGACACGTCAACGAACATATCCGAGAGCGACTCGGACGACGAGGTATTTCCACAGGTGTTTTTTTTCTAAACGGTATACACTAAACTTATTTAGGTCAATAACATTTTTCTTTTCAGAATAAATGTCAAATAGGAAGCGTCTAAGTGTGTTCTAATCCAGAGGAATGACTGTTTTTTTTATATATTGTTAACAGTCCAAGCTCCCTCTTAACCAGTTCTATCCCTACATCCGGTGTGCCCTTTGCTGCGGTTTCCTCATCGATGCCACCACCATCACAGAGTGCCTGCACACATGTAAGTTTTAGGCCAAGGTATCCATTAGATCCGGGGTTTCTGAAGATCTAAGAAAAGGGGGTAAATCAACGAAATTTCCTGATGTCCCTGATGGTTGATCATTTGGGTTTGATAATTGCATAGGCAAATATTAACGCCAATAATGGAGTTTGTGGCAGGTAAGCCACAATCTGACTCACCCAGAAGAAATTCTGAGCCTGGAAGTATAACAGAAACATACACACTGTCCGTGTTGCTCTTCAGTTGTAATTATTTCTGTATTCATTTTGCAATGTTTCTCCAAAATGATCCGCTTGTGTTCGGTTGTGAGAATTTAAGTCATACTTTAAAAAACGCTTATTGCCTGCCAAGTTCACCATTAACGAAAAGTTTGCTTCTGCCTTTTTGAAGTTTGCAAAAGCTGCATTGTGAAGCACTTCTTCTACAGCAACAAATGTCCCACGTGCAGCATCGTGGTCCATCAGACACAGCCTCTTTACAACATCAGGTGGGTCATTGCAATAGTCTAACCAGGCAAAATTGACTGTTCGGTGAATTAAACAGTGTTTACCATTTATTAGTTGTTAAAGTAAGAATGATTCACATTATTAGCCCACTGTTTTGTGTAAGTATAAAACTATGTTGTGTTGTCACTCCAGTGAGTTCTAAGACCGTCTGTTTTTGTTTTGTTTGTTTAATTGGACTGTAGGCCTGACAGACAGCTGCAGGATATTGTTTACAAAATGGTTCCCTTTCTTGAGGACTGTAAGTAGGTCTTTATTTCTAAAGCGTTTTTCATCCAGGAAAATAGAAAAGATTTAAAAAAATGTCAATAGGGAAAAGATTGTGTGTGGCACTTTCATGGATATCAACTTATTCACAGGTGTTTGTTTGTTTTTTCATTTTCAAATAAAATTTGACACTTTATCCCTTTTTCCTACAGTAGAAAGAGAACAAATGTGTAAGTTCTACAAAGACAGAGGACTTCCAGTGCCTAAACCAGGTAAATACAACAAAAAAGGAACGATTTTGCGCTCCACCTTTGATGTGGACACATTTCATGTTATTTTTAGAATAAATATGTCAAAATGGAGCTCAGCAGTAGCAAAAGCATTTCATTTCAATACTGAAACTCACAAGTGTCCCCCTGTCTTCCTTTGCAGTGGTTCTCTCCCCTCCTCGTCCTCCTATAACTAAGAGACAAAAGAAGGACAGCTATCCTCAGTCTGTATTTACCATTCCTCCTGAGCTGGACGTATCTCTGCTTCTGGAGTTTGTTGGGTAAGAACTTGCGCTCTTCTATTATATTCCTTTAAAAAAAAGGTTTTAAAGTTATCTATCATCTTTAAGTGTAAATGTGAAGACCCAACATGACTTATGAAGCTGTTATATGAAAGGCAACCAAAAGTTAAAGTGGCTTAAGATTCAATTTTATTCTGAAAAAGTAGCTGAAATGAGAGTTTTGCATGTGTAACAAATGATTCAGTATTTACTGAATTTGCATTATTATGATTGAGGAGGGATCACATCGTGAAACAAACCAAACCGAAAACTTCAAAATGTGCTACCTGTTTCGTTGTGTTTTTTAGCTCCGATATAAAGGTTATTTAGTCCAAACACCTTTGAAAATGCACCGTTAAACACCACCCTGAGTTTTATCGTTGCTTTTATTTTGCCAGACATTTCTCGCAATCATTCAGGAAGTTTTTCCCGCCATAGATCTGAACCCAGTTCTAGTCGTTTTTGTGATCTCCTTTGATGCTTTTTCCGCATGACGAATGCGCAGACACACCTTTTTTTTCCCACCATGACCACAGAATGCGTCTTTCAATCTGGTTCTTTTGCTTTGTTTTCAGGGCGGAAGAAGGCATCTCCAACTTTAAGGTAACAGCTTAGACACTAAAGTAGTTAATATGAAAAAAAGGAGGCATATTTTTAATTGATAAAACATTTGTACGCAACGGTCCCTGGGGATGTCACATCACCTCTGCCCTGCGCCTTCTGTCCCCGTTAAGCCGCTGGAGAGGCGCTACGTCCGCGTGTCCGGTGAGGCTACCGTCCGCCACGTAGAGCTGTTCATCAGGAGGAAGATGGAGCTGAGCCCAACCTGCCAGGTGAATCGACGGCAAAGCGTCTGAGCCGAGTGTTGGATTTAGACAGGTGGAGAGAGGATGCAGTCGGCTCTCCTTTTCTGTGCTCTGAGCTGAGGGAGAGATATACTCTACCTGGTTTGATCGCTTAAAAGAAACATAGCTGGTGTGTTTCTCTTAGTGTGAAAGATCAAGGTCCAACTCCTAGCTCTGACCCAGGGAAAAGGCCTTTTTGTAATTTTTTTTTATTACAGAAAATCTAAAATTTTCACTTGTGATTTTGAAACCTGTCACACATCCCCGGAAAAATAAACAGGCTTCAATCATTAGGTCTTAATTATCTTCTGGCACATAAACTACATCCTCCTCAAGTTTTCTTAGCCTGAGAGAACGTCCCAAAGTGAACCCTTACCAGAAGACTGAAGAAGTAAAAATAAAAATAGAAGCAGAAGGAGCCTTTAAAGTGTCAGATAGAGGGTGCTGCCTACATCTTAAGGGCCACAAAAGCTCCCTAAGATCAACAGGAATCCGTTCAGAGCTAAATTACAGTTAGAAAGCTTGTGTTTTTTAGTTATTGCTATTTATTAATCATAGATTATAAGGAGTAATAACTAAATAATCAGAGGGGGTCGGGCTCTCCTGGACAGAAATGTCCAGGTTGGATCAGATGAAGGAGTGCTGAGGCATATTTCGTATTTGGCAACCCGTGGGTGAAGATTAGCATCTTGGTCTGACTTCCTGCTGTCAGGCTGCCCCTACTGTGACCAGTCTGGACCAACGTAGAGGTCCCTGCTCTGCATGGCACAGTTCCCTGCAAACGCATCGCTCTCATCTCTTAAACTTTGTTGGTTTTATGGTCTTTTTTTTTTTCCTCTCTTTTTTTTTTTGCAAAAATGATGAACACAACCGCTTTTTTTTTTTTCTCATCTTTGCGTTTCTTCCAGGTGGATGTGGTTTGTGGAGATCACCTCCTAGATCATTACCAGTCACTGAAAGACATCCAGAACTCTATGGGTGAAGATGCTCTACAGGTAAGAGTTTGAAAGAAAAAAAGAGCTCCTGGAATCACTTTCAAGATCGAAATTAGATTCTTTGTGTTACAGCTTTTTTTCTTTTCTTGTTTCCTTCTGCCTCAGGATGGCTTGTTGGTGCTACACTTTGGCTTGGTCCTGCCCAACCTGCCTTAAACACGAGAAGTGGATGACGTTTTAATTTTATTTTTTAAAACTATTTAATTGGATAACAAGCAGTAAAAAGTCTGCTTTTCTCCTCCCAACTATTAACTCACCACTCGGCCGTTGTTCTGGATGCGTTGTCGGTTAGAAGCTTAATTAACAGCTTGCCAGAATCTGCTTACGCTCGATTAAAGCTCTAAACGGAAGGCAGCCGGGTTTAGGAGGCTGCGGACAAAACTTGTCATCGGAGCAGAAAGTCCAAAGCATCTACATTTGGAATTGTTTTGGGATTTCTTTTGGTCTTTTTTTTAATGAGAAGTCCACCAAGAAAAAGATGGCTTTTCATTGTGTAGCATCACAATTTCAGCATCAATATTAGTTCATATTCAGGTGTCCCCAGGGACAGATTCTCTGGTCAAACGTGTGCAAAATGAAACGATCAGGACTTCCTCTTTTTGTTTATTTGTCTGTTTTGTTTTCTTAAGTTGCGGCTCGGATGACTAGCAGGTCTGCTTTTGCAACAACTTGACTAAAATGCTATTTATGGGTCTGAAGCTGACTGTTTTAAGGCAGCACATGTGACATCCGTCTGGTTTAGTCCATTTGAGGGAGCCAGTGACCTGTATTTATCCATCACCTCATGAGTAAACTGTGATACCAAACTACTGTGATTCAAAGACTGTGATTCAAAGGGCTCCGGCTACCAAAAGGTCTGTACGTCTGAGCAGAGCTTAGGCGTACATTTCAGCCTGGTGGTGACCAGATAAAACCGACTTGATGAAAAGAAAAAAGAAAAAAAGTTTGTAGAAGAATTGTCTTTGGGTGATTTTCTAATTGCTTTTGTCAGTTTGAAGTAACAAACACAACTGAGAAAAAAATGGCTGCTGTATTTTTGTTTGTTTTTTTGGGGGATAAGCTTAGAATTGTTTGAAATGGTGTTTGGGACAAGAATGAAAATATGATTGTCTAATGTTTGTACTTCAGTGAGTGCCTGGTTTTATTACTAATAAAGATAGATAGATTTCTCCTTTCTGGAAACATTCGTATCTTCCAAGACAAGGCTTGGATTTTCGCCTCTTAAAGGGTGGCATCACATCAGTTTAAATGTCACACATCAATTCAAGGTGTTGGCAAATAAAATGACTGCTACCCTGGTCTTAAAGTCCAATTCAGGCCATTTCATACACTTACAATAATCATACCATACTTAAGTAGATCTGTGAAGAAACTTCTGACCTCGTGGAACTACCAGACCAAACGTATGTCGGGACGGTGCAGCTTCCTGCTTATTCCAACACGAAGACCCCTCAATGTGAGTAAAGAATACGAGCAAAAGAATACCATTTTTGGCATAAATACTGAAAATGAATCATAGCTACCATTCTTTTAACAGAGAAAATAAATAAGTGATGTGCTACTTAAACCTTGTGTCAACTAACAGGTTTAGGATATGATAGATTCTGAATTGTTTCTGCCCTCAGATTTAAAAAGAGATACTCAAACTTAAATTCTTTATCTGGATGCAATATGTAATCATTAAAATCCAAATAGTAACTGACCCAATAGAATTATTTTTCCACACCTGGATCAGGACATCAGTTAGATCGTGCATTATTTGGCATTGCCAGAAAAACTTTTTGCATAATGGACAAAAAGCCATCTTTAGGAAAACACAACATTTCTTCAAATAGTTTCTTCACACAGCGCGCTGCAGCTTGCTTTCGCTTTCCGGTCTCATGTAAATCTGGTCATTGCAACTTGTTATATGGCGTAGATTAAAAATGAACTCCAATCTTTTTCCCCCGCATGTTGTGTTTTTAATGTAACTGCAAAAAGCAAAAAGCACATCAACTGCCCACAACAACTCTTGATTCTTGGTCATTAACGTGTGCGAACTATGACAATGAGTCTGACTTTATTCTTATGGTGGGTCTCCGTCAGATACACTTTTATCAACACGACGTGCTACTACTCAACAGTATTACACACACTCACGCACATAAGAGCGTAATATAGCACAGGATTTTTACCGATTTTCCGGTAATATGCAATTGTCATATTTAAGGTATTGTTAACCAACAGTGACACTATTTCTTTTGCATTTTAAAGCCATTAAACATCCACAAAAGAAAGTTCAAGGGTGACTGTCACATCAGTAAAGCTCAAATTTAAAAACTCCGCTGCACAGAGGTGAAACTCTGCTTACATTGACTCTTCTGTAAACCCCAAACACACACACCTAGTTTTTGCAGGTTGGTTCCATTTTCTTAAAGTTATACACTAGATAGGAAGACAAGCCTTTCTACTGCAAGGAAATGTAAGTTGACATCCCAAACAGTGGTCCGAAATATTATATTAGTACTCAAACATGTGTCTAATTTAAAACATTTGGATTAATGTTGCCCTATAATGTGTAATGTTATTAGGATTTTGCTGTGCTCAGTTGTTGTTGGAGTTGATGTCGGCCTCATCTTTGTCCTCGCTGATGTCTTTGAAGCTTTCCTTGGTGGCCGCCTCTTTTTCCCTCTGGCTGCCCCTGGTGGAGCTGGCCGCGGCGCGGGGCTGGTAGCTGTAGCTGGAGGCGCCGAACGAAATCCCCGAGTTAAAGTGGGTCTCCTCCCCCTCCAGCAATTTCCTGAGAGAGTCAAAAGACTGAGATGTCACGGGTCCGCAAGTCGAAAAGCTTTTTATTTCTTATTTCTTATTTCAGACGTACAAGAAGGCACTGATTAAGGGTCAAAACGCTGCTGTTTTTTTGTTATCTGAACCATTACATTCCCAAATAGAAGAGCAAAAATGTGCATTTCAATATCTGCTGAGTCATCGTTACTCACTGATTGCATGGGGAAAATGTTACATATGCTAAACTAAAATCTCGCTTCAACAGTGTGATTTTACAGCTAATTCATGGACCAGCTAAAACATATCAGATATTCAGAGCAACTGCTCAGTTTTCAGATAACAGATTGATTTTTTTTTTCTTGAATCAAGCACCTGTAAGCAGCTATCTCTATGTCCAGAGCCATCTTGACATTGAGTAGGTCTTGATACTCCCTCAGGTGTTGAGCCATCTCCCCCTTCAGGTTCCTGAGCTCGCTATCTAGGTGGCTAATGGTGTCCTGGTACCATTGAGGAAAAAAGAGAGAAAAAAAAAAAAGGTAAGTTATTTTCAGAGTTCAATGGAAAAGCATGCAAAAACAAAGTTTTCCAGTGACACATCCATGACAATCATATCTCCTCTAGGAAGTATCTTGATACAAGTCCATGACACTCACAAAGTTGGCCGTCTGAGGTTTAATACGGGATTTCCTATTTGTCTCAGCCACGTTCGGGGCTTAGCTTTCTCCTCGGTAAAAAGCCAGTAAAAGCCAGATGACCGTCCCGCATTTAGCGGGTCAGACAATAATCCAATAGACGCACCGGGTTCGTCTAGAACGGTGCACCTTGGCTCTTAAGTCCCAGCCACCTGTTCCGCTTCCAGTCCCACGCTAAACGTTGTGGCTTGACCTCACACTGAACCTAAACTAGATTCAGTTTACAAAAAGATCCGAAACCCTCTCTTTTAAAACGAGTAACTGATGGCATCTGATTACCTTAGCCGGGGAAAAATGCTGTGAAAAGATGAGAGGAGACCATTCATCCTATTGAAATGGAAAGAAAATGGCTATTTTTTGTGGTGCTCAGAACTGAAATATGTTTGGAACCCGCATTGCTTAACCGTATAACGATGAACCGTGATTTATCATGACAAATGGACTTGACATCAATCCTCTTATCTCTGCTTAGCGCAAAAATATAAATGTCCTGTAATGCTTAACTGCCTTGATTAATCATATTCTACAAAAAGGCCTACACCCTGTAAGTCTTAGGGAAATGGAAAAAAAACAAACATCAAAGTGTGTATGGAGGATTGACTTGCAGATTGTCAGTAAACTGAATTCTAAGTTCCTTTTGAGACTTGAACACACAGGAAATGTCTGCAACTTGCTACGAACTTGAGTCTTAAGACTTAACCGACTTAACTGATAATGAACTTCACCCTTTGATCTTCTCGCTTTCAATCCTATTATTCTGCTGCCTCTTTTGAGTCTCTATTTTTCCCATCATAATTGTGCATGAATTGGCACTTGAACTTCGGAGAAACTTTGAAAATAAAAAAAATCCTCATAGCCAATTTGCTTCCATTTCCATTTGTTTTCCATTCATCCCATTTATCCATCCATCCATCCATCCATCCATCCATCCATCCATCCATCCATCCATCCATCCATCCATCCATCCATCCTTTTTCAATAACCTCTTTATCCAGTTTGTGGTCATGTGAGGGCACTATTTTTTTATGGCTACCATTGATTTAAGGGCATAATACATCCATGTTGCTAGTCTTTATGCTTCACAAAGAATCATAATAAACAGCTATTTTATAGTGTTTTTCTTTGGTATAATTTCGTCATGGAAACTTAGTCTACTAGAACGTTTTGGCCACAGTATTCTTTAATTTTATTTGTGTTTTAAATCATGTGAAAAATCAGCTGTTCAAAATAGTAGAAAACTATTAGGCTCATAGGATATATTAATATACTATTCTGACCTTGCCCACATCTCTGTCCTGCTGCTTACAAACGCAAAGAGCAATTTCATGATTAATGTCTTTCAGATGTACATTTCTACATCCAGTGTGGTTGTAGGCTCAGTAAAACTCAAGATAGAATATTTAGTCATCATACATATGTTAGCCAGAGAGCAATTTCCCGCTACAGTAGAGGGAATTGCTGAGCCTTAATCAAACCAGGCTCTTCCTGAGCCAAATAAAAATAGAGCTGCTACCTGGTTCATACCAGTTAACAGGATTTGTTACCTACAGCAGAAGGAAACTCGAGAGATGAGCTTAGACACTCAAATAGATGAGCAAGTCAGAGATCTCAGAGCCTGCGTTAACCGCTATTCTAAGCCCTGTCCCGCGTAATACTTCTAAAGCGAGTAGCCTTTGCTGTTAGCTCCTGTTTGACGGTATGAACTTCCCCCCACCCACCTCCCTCCATCTTTATTTGAGGTATGTCTGACCAACTGGTTATGGAATTGTGATATATGGCAATAATTGGGAGTAACGGAAGCAATGCCTGGACAGCTGACAAAATGGTTTCAAATGGTTTATAAGACGTGTCTTTTGTGAGGTAGATTGAACTCCTTCATAGCATCAAATAACGGGTTTCAGCAATGCTAAGTTGCTAGTGTTGTTTTGAACCGACTGTGATTACTTGCCTGCATGGCTGCGACTTCCCCGTTATGTGTATCCTCCATCTCCGTAATTTGCCTCTCCAGAGACTCGTTGGCGCCCCTCAGGGTTTCTATCTCAACGGTCTTGGACTGAAGCTGCCTCCTGAACTCGTTGATCTCCTCTCTGCTGGCTCTCATGGCCTCATTGGTCCTGGTGGCTTGCTCGCTGAGGCTTACGAACTTGCCCTTGTACCATTCCTCGGCCGACTGCAGATTTTTGGAGGCAATGGACTCATACTGGTTGCGGATCTCCTTCAGAGCCGATGTCAGGTCGGGTTTGGCTTGCTCCAGCTCCACGGAGACCTGCTGCGCCTCCATCATGCTGCTCAGCTCCTCAATTTCCTCTTCATGCACCTTCTTCAAGAAAGCGATTTCATCGAGCAGTGACTCCATCCGGCGCTCCAGGTCCAACCGGACAGCCGCCGCATCGTCCACATCCTTCCTGAAGGACCTCAGGGTCTGCTCAGCTTCCTCCCGTGCCTTAACCTCCTCGTCATACTTTGCACTGAGCCTCTGAAATAAAAAAGATGACCACTTAAGAGAAGGATTACTGAAATGTGAGAATATTTCGATGATTGCTGAAGTGGATACAGATTGAGAAGCTCAATGTAAGACTGGGGGGGTTTCTTTAGGGGCCCATAGTAGGGGACGATAAGTAGGGGACGATAAGTAGGGGACGATAAGTAGGGGACGATAACCATGGCTCATGACATGACCATAGAAACACTAAAAACAAAGAGAATTTATAAGAATCTAAAAAACAGGCAGAACAAGCTGAATAAACAATCATATTTATGTCAGCCTCACACTGGATTAAAACCCAAAGAACAAAAGTGTGTCTTCAAACGAGATCTAAAAACATTAGCTGAACAAACTAATATTATACATGAAGGAAGCACGTTCCATAGCTTTACGCCAAGACAGAAAAAGCTCAACTGGAACCGAACAAAATCCCTTCAGTTTTACATTCATTAAAACTCAGAAAATTAAGAGCCATCCACGTGAATTTAGCAGTCATTAGTAAATAATTGAAACGAGATCCCATATCCAGTGGGTACAGGGGGGAAAAGGTGAAGCTCGAGAATAGAGCCTTGATGCACACCATCCCATGGAAGCTCAGCACAGGAGCAGGTAGAAACACCAAACCTGACACTAAAGCTTCTCAAAGAGAGGTACGACTCATTCATTCATACTATGGCCTACTATGTACACGGTTCCCACTGTCTGCTGCTCAAAATCATTTTGTAAAAACATATAAAGGAGCTGGTTTTGTCCTGTGGTATGGGCTGAAACACCTCCAGCATTTTGGGCTGATACAAAAACAATCTTTTCCAATACTTTTCTCAGAAAGGGCTATTTGAAGACTAAAGTTGGCCAAAACAGATGAGTAAAGACCAGCTGTCTTTGGCATAAGAAAAATAACCGCAACTGGTGCTTAGCCAGATGTTAAACTAATTAGTTATGTGGAGAATAAGAGGTCCTGGGCTGGGAAACACTTTCCTAAAAAGACAAGCAGAGAGACATTCTGGGTGGACTTGGTCACGTAAACCTGTACAATGCCCTAGCATAGATGGGCCATTAGAAGGTAGCTAGATCAAAGATCTGATATTAGCAACTTCATCAACGAAGAATTTAAGAACACAGCTACACGTCTTATTGGAAGTTTCCAGAGGGAAAGTTTAATTCACATTTAAACACTCGTATTTGTTCTAACCTGGAGCTCGTCGTCCATGTTGTTTCTTTCTATGAGGATTCGGTTCTTGTCCCTGCTCAGGTCCTCCAGCTGGGAGCGGAGGTCACTCAGCTCCTGCTGGTAGAGATGAGCGACCCGGGACGGCTCGCTCTGCCTCTGCCGCAGAGTGACCAGCTCCGTCTCCAGCACTTTGTTCTGCTGCTCCAAATGCCGGACTTTGTCGATGAACATGGCAAAGCGGTCATTCAGGCCCTGTGTGATGAAACAAGTACATTTTAAATCAAGGAAAACTCTTGGATTAGAACCCATAGATGGTTGTAGCAAACATGTGAACAGTGAAGCAAAGGCTTACAACATGGACGTCTTGAAACACCTCTTCTTATACTGCCAGTTAAGGGTTAGGGTTACCATAACTACAGGTGGCCTCTTTCAGATCGGTCAATTGGTTTATTGCCCACAAAAAATGTATCGATTAAAACAGCTTCATGTATTATCTTATTTCACAATTGCTCCTGATTGAAGAAACCTATCCTCTTTCTCCTTTATCATCCATTTCATGGTCCTGCTGTATACTTGTATAGAAAGCTCTGATATCTTTTAACTGTAATAACAATTTAAAGAAAAAAATGAAATCCCTTTTAAGGAAAGAGCTCATAGATGTTAACAGGACAATAAAGAATGGTGGGAATTCTGTCCAGCACCCATATATTCTGTTGTGTCTAATTGGTTCAGATCCCAGCATTGTGTTATGGCAACTGTAAAGCCTGTGCATACCTTTAAAAATAGATTTTGCCTTTCCAGATTGGTAAGTTTCCAGTTTTTTAAGCATAAATGCACCAACAATACCACCAGAGATACTTACTTTTTGAAAGTATTGTTCAAAGTCTGCACAACTTTATTTAGTTTAAATTTGTTATTATTGTTAGTTAATATATTGTTAGTTAATATATATATATATATTATATATATATTAACTAATATATTAACTAACAATATATTATTGTTATATATATAGACATCTGATAAACTCTTGAAGGAAAAAAAAGATTAAGAAACTCTACCTCTTTTAGGTGCTCTTTTTTCAATGTCACCTTGCTGACCTGCAGCCATTTTACCTATTTGGCTTCAAGATGTACCTTTTTTTTTTTTTTTTTCAAAGTACATTGGCCCCAACCTGACTTTTTTTAAAAATCACAACTGCCATCAAATTCTACATGAGCCAAATATTTTACTGAAATATTCAAATCTTTCACTTTGAATATGTGACATTTTTTCCATATTTCAATAGATTAATGACACTTGCACATGTTCTTTTTTCTCTCATATTTCAGTTTTTTAACATTTTTGAAAAAGTAAAATTACTGAGAAATCAGATTGGTCTCTCAAACTGGTGCGCAATGATTATCTGGGTAAGAGAAAAATAATAGTCTATTTTCATTTCATTATCTTTTGTAGTTATACTGTGTTTTATTTCTGGGTCGATTTTGCAAAATTATAAAGAAGTTCATTATAGCACTACGCAATGATAAAATTAAAAGGACCAAACAGAGGATCTATCATTATTATTTTAAAAAGTAGACCGAGTTAAACCAGGCCTTAATTACACAAAGTACAACTGAAACCCTTTGGCATTGTTCAAGTTATAGATTAATCATTATCTGAATCATCTCTAATTATTATCCTCAAATATCTGAAGCGGTGCTATTGCCTAAAATAAAGGGCTTGAATGGTGTAATTGGCTTCGGACGCCTGGAATAAGATGAAAATTCCAGTTTCCCGCTTCCCTTTTTATCTTTTTTCTTTCTTTCTTTCTTTCTTTTCTTTTTTTCTTTTCTTAAAGATCTACCTGCAGCTGCTCCTTCTCGTTGGTCCTCGTGACTTTGAACTCATTGTTGACCACGGAGGTCTGGCTCAGGTCGAGGGAGCCGGGCGGCAGCGCGGAGAAGGCGGAGGATGCGCGCCCGGTGCGTCGGTACAGGCTTCCGGGGGAGGAGGCGGAGGAGGAGGACCGGAGCCCCGCGGAGCCCCGGGAGGAGGGCCCCCCCAGGCGGGAGGACGGCATCGAGTACCGGGGCGAGTCCCCGAAAATCTTCCGGTAGGAGGACGCGGTGTAGCGGTCTCCGTAGCTCATCTTTCCCCCTCCCTTCTTTGACGCACGAAACAAAAGCCGAAAGCGCTTAAAGAGCTTTGCCGGGGAGCTTTATTCGGGGTGGAGCGAACCTTCTGACGCGTTTTCACTCTGGTCACGATTTAGTCTTCACAGCTTACAGGTGCAAAATAGCTTTTGACACCTGTGGTGTCCGGATTTGATTTGTTCATTCATTAATTCGGCAGACGCAGCCGGGACCAAAGTTCAGAAAAGCGTCTGATGTGGGAATAAAATGGAACAAAACTTTGGCATTCTCCAAGAAGTTTGAAGAATCAATTCCTGAACCATTTGAACACAATGCAAGAAATCCTCTCTCATAGGCCGCGTTAAAGAATACAGATCATATCCACACGAAAGCTTCTAACCCCTTAATTCTACAAATTAATGTCTTCCCCATTCATTTCAATGGATCGCTGCCTTTCCCAGAGTTCAAATGCAAAGAGAGCTGCTGTTTTTCCTTTTTTTCTTTCTTTTTAAATTGCTTTCCTAATTTATTATAACACAATGACTACATTCTAAGACAATCCTTGGTGCCTGGACATAAATATATCCTGGTTTGGATTCTATTGGGATTTTATAGTAAGGAATTCCAACTGAAACACCTCCAAACAGTTTAATCTTGTCTCTGTGTCAGCTCCATCTCGTGGTGTGAGACTTTCTGGGGGAAAATAGACACTTTTTGTTTATTTTAATCATGAAGGGACACCTTCCACTGCAGGTGACCTGCATTCTGGTCATTTGATGAGACCATTTTGTCTGATGATGCTGATGGTGGAAGAAAAAACTGAGGCTGATTCTGTATATTGACCCTATTTTTACTCCCTTCTACTCATGTGTCAACTGATATAAAAATAACTTTGTCTTTCAAGAAGTTAAGAAAACTGTTACATGTCTTGTGGCTTCCACATAAACAGCTTAATTCACATTTAAGACAGAAACTTTTAATCTAATACAACTGACTAAATAGAATAAACTAAATCAATTTAACATTTTGGTTGACTTTAACCTATTATAATAGTTTATATGTCAAAACATTGGCTTTTCCCACCACATATAAATGCACGGAAACGCATGGATGGTTTCATTATGTCATTAAAACGATAATATTAAACAAAACTTTGACATAATACATCACATGTGCGTAAACAAAATTACTATGATTCTTGCTTTTTTTCTTTCTTTCTTTTTAAAAGAAAAAGCAGAATTTCACATTATGAAACCATACATTTAATGAATTTGGACACAAATTGACCAAATGGCGTTGCTCAGAATTGTGTGGTCGTTTTATAGTTCATGCTTTTAAAACAGTAAAACAAGAACGGGGCAATTTGGCCTGAGAGGACTACAGGTATGACTGCCGTTAAAAACACTGAAATGGTTTCAAATCACTAACCCAACTACATTTTGACAAATGAAGTCCGTTATATACAGTGTGTCATAAAAATGAGTGTGAAATAAATATTGTGTTAACTAAAAAGGTGAGACAAAAAATGGTGATCATTATATGGCTCTTAGTCAAAACAGCCAAAACACACTTGAAGAGGACAAAAGTGAATAGGAATGTGATACGAGGGCTAAACAAAGTTGAACTATTCAAATTCAGTTAAATAATTAATGTTTTTCTTTATATTTGATACCTGGGGTTATACTATAACCACTTTAAAGTTTCTTACTATTTGTGACTATGAGATTTACAGATTAAACAAGCCTGACGTTCCACGTTTCGATGCCAAAATACATGCAGTTAGCGAGCTTTTCCCCTCTTCAAATACAGCTGTGGACAATGTACCATAAAACCTTATATACTGGAATCAGATTTGGTCATTTGGTTGTCCCTGCGCGCTCTTCCACGCTCTCTTGTGATGGCGACAAAAGCCACAAAAGTCAGACAGAGGCAGCACATGAACAGCACATAAAATAAAACCAAGGCAAATTTCATACAGTTCTACAAAGTCAGCCATCACATGACAGCAATATTGACAGTGAGCCCTGTCCACAGAGACCCCACACCACAACCCACAGGACGCCAACGCTCTGCTCATCGAACTTATGGGGAATGGCTTCAGGAAAACTCTTAAAGAATCAGTAAAAACATGCTTTGCTACTATTATGCTGTTTTTCTTGTCAGTTATTAATTAGTCTGTTGATCTACAGTCAAATTCTTGGTCACTGAAACCCTTTATTCCTTTGGTTATGCTGTACATTAACCTTAAATATGAATTTAGAATTAGAGAATAAACTATCAAAAAATGTTTCCTGGAAGATTTGTCTCCCATTGGCCACAAAAATGAGTATAAAACCAATCAAACCTAGTCAAAAGAGGACTTGATGTGAGTAAACATGTGTTGAAGGACAAGAAAGTAAACTAAAACGGGAGATAACAAATATAGTATCTGGATTTAATGCTTCCAAATTTGATTCAGTGTCGGCCATACAGTGACAGTATGAGATAAGAGGGAAGAATTTTGTAACTGAAAGTAATCTTTGGATCAGATCACCATCACTAGGGGTTCTTCAAAAGAACTAAGGTGTCGAGAACAATTTTTGAAATCCACCAGGGGCAATTGTAAAGGAATCTTTGAGCTAAAGTCCCCAATGATGGCCACTAGAGGCCGTCATCAACCAGACGTTACCAAATCTGTGCTGTACAACACATTTAATCCATCTCAGGCTCTCACTGTCCAGTCCTTCGGGTGGTGGTGGAGTTGTGTGAAAAGAAGCAGGTGCGCGGTTGGATGAGACCTGTCTGACAGATAGCCCCACATTTCACTTTAGAATCCTTAATCAAACCATCCAAGTTGTCCAGAAACCTAGACACATTTCAGAAAACTTTCTATCATAAATGTAGAGTTATCAAACTTGTTTCCCCTATTTATCCATGAATGTCCATTTATTGGTTGCTTTTTCTTTTATAGTTGGATGTCTATTTGGGGCCTTTTTATGTAAAAAAAGAGGCATAAGTGATTTATTATACGGTTGCTCCGTGTGTTTCTAGTTCCAGATCTGTCTGATACATAAAAACAAACTCTTTAAAGCTATCTTTCTGGTCACAGTACCTACTGGGTATTTCAGAATTTGCTGACAACATGGTCAACCACCATCAGGCCCTCTTCTATTCAGACGATTAAAACTATCCTTTTCATTTCTATTTCCCAAGCCAGCCAAAAGTAGACTCATGGGAAGGATGGTCACATTTGAAAGGTTGTGCCACCATGTTTAGACTGCAAATCTAATTTATATACTAGTAACAGTGCATAAATTGCCTTGTTTCGATTGCTTTGATTATTGCAAGTAAAAAGATTTAGGCCATAAACGATACAATGTATGTTATCCCCCAATAATAATCATGTCTGTTGGGTTTCTGTTTTTATGGTTGTTCAGTCTTTTCAAACACGAATATGGAACATGTTGTCCCGCCTTCTTCCCTTTAATGGTCAAGTGGAATGATTTCCGTGCGTGGACCGTGGAGATGGAGATGGGGGGGGGGGAGAGTGGGGGGGTCAGTGGAAGGGCTGCGTGACTGTTTGCTGCCGTCCCCGCTCCTGCAACGCTATTGGCCGCCACCGCCACGTGGGCGGGACACGGCGCCCTGACTCAGCCGTGAGTCACCGCGCGACACGTCTGTCACCGCTGGTGCGTTCCGGGGCCACACGACAAAAGGCAATTCGCTAAACCCACGTCCATTGCGTTGTAAAAAGACACAGTATTTCCACAGTCGACACTGTCGCGTTTCAAACAACCAAAAAAAGTTGATAGGTTTGTCCAAGTGGAGTGTTAGAGACCCGTCAACAAGCATGCTGCTTTTAAGTCAAATGTCAGTTTAGGTAGATTATCCCCCCCCCC